ACACACACACACACACACACACACACACACACACACACACACACACACACGCTACCTCACCAGCCACTCCTCTCAGCCCACTTTGCTATACCTTTCATTTCTTCCCTTTCATTCTGCCTCAGGCTCTCAAAGTCTGCCCTCCTAAGGGGCCCAGGAAAAGTTGGTCCCCAGCACCAAAACCTTTCCCAATAACCTAGTCAGTGCTAATGCTCCCCTTCCAGTACATGCATAGTGCCTTCAAATGCTCCCCACCTTGGCCCTGATATCTAGGAGTTAACCTTTAATCCTACATTATTTCCTATCCTTTCCTGTTTCACATGTGTGACTATCACCTCCCTGATAAGAGGAATTAAATCATGCCACATTTTCTTTCTTTCCTTTTTTTCCTTCCTGTTTGTCTTCTTTTTAAAAATCTTTATTGCATAGAACAACAAACAGCAAATAGTAGTCACTGGATAAATTCAGAGTACATTGGAGGGAGAGAGAAGGAGAGAGGGGACTTTGGGTCACTTATTCCATTCCTTTAGGTTTTAATGTCATTGTTTTAAAATAAGAAAAGATTAGACCCTGACATCTCTCTCTCTAAAAGTGGTATTTAAGCATTCTCAAACTTTACTGGCAGAATGCACACCCGATTCAGGGTAGTCATTGCCTTTGGAGGGAGGGGGAGGAGGAGGAGGAGGAGGAGGAGGAGGAGGAGGAGGAGGAGGAGGATCAGACTGACCACAAACAAGCAAGGACTTTAACTTTATCTGAAGTAAGAGTGAGTGAACAAATGGAAACCTGAGTCATGTCCTGGTGGCGGGCACTCAACTGCTTGTTATATGCATTCTCTGATCTTTTATAAATCTTAAACCTAAAAACAAAAGCCTATCACCTCAGCAGCCTTCCTTGGAGGAGACCAGTGGTCTTAGCTCCGAGCAGGGACTCCCCACAGAAAACAACACAGAAGAGGAGCTAGGGGCACGTGAGGGGGCAACACCTAGAGTCCAGGGCTACTTTGTGATGCTGGACAAGCACATGTGACAGTGTCAGTCTCTTACAGCCTTAGAGCAGATCTTTAAGAGGAGAAAACAGATTTCATGCAACATCCTAGAAAGCGAACGTGAGAGCTAAAAGGAGAATTACTAGCCAGGGTGCCACACGATTCCAAAAGGTCATTTGGTTTGTGATTTCCAAACATTTGTCTTGTCATTCATTACCCCAAATCTTGCATATATTACAGACAGGCTCTTCAAATCTGAGCTCATGTCTTCTCTGGATGAATGTTAGTCATCATCTGCATTAGCCCATGTGTTTGGACTTTGCTTTTTCCAAAAGTGAGGATCCAAGTTTCTCCTGGTTGGTTGTGGGGACTCTGCTCCTGCCAGCTGGCTCCACAGCCAGCGCCTTCAAGGTGCCTGATTTCTTAGGCTTCTAACCTTAATTGACTCTTCCCAGGTGACCACACTTCTTTGCCAGATCTCTCAGCACATATCTAAACTGATGCTCTTTATTTGCAGTAAAGGCTGCTGAGGACTGTTAGGAACACCTTAAGTTTGGGCTGTGTGCCTCCCCTGATGGCCTGCAGCTTTCCTAGAGGGTGGACTGCAGGATTTTATTCTGTTTAAAACCTCCTCTACATGAGTATAATGCCCTCCATTCTGCTGTTGCCCAGTAAATGTTTCAGACTCTTCTTTCTAATCATATTTTTTTTTTTAAAGGAAGAAGAGTCTAGCAATAATCCTTTACTTTGCAAATGAGGGAACAGAAATCTTAAGTAATAGGTGATTCACGCAATGTCAGGCAGCTATCAGATTTTATTTCTAAGAGGTCATTCACTGTCAGATACACTATAAATTTTTAAAGTCTTTTTTTTTTTAATTTTTTTTTAACGTTTATTTTATTTTTGAGACAGAGAGAGACAGAGCATGAACGGGCGAGGGGCAGAGAGAGAGGGAGACACAGAATTGGAAACAGGCTCCAGGCTCTGAACCATCAGCCCAGAGCCCGACGTGGGGCTCGAACTCACGGACCGTGAGATCGTGACCTGAGCTGAAGTCGGACGCTTAACCGACTGAGCCACCCAGGCGCCCCTTTAAAGTCTTTTTAAAAAGACCACAACACACTAAATAGATGCATCCTGATCTCTGAAATAATAACATAGAAAAAAAAAAAAAAACCAACTACAGAACCAAGGAAATAAAGTATTTAGCTTCAACATTGACAATACAAGCCAAGTTTCCTAACTTCTAGGTCCAGAATATTTCTTCTAGATCAGTCTGCAGTGTTTTTTTTTTTACCCCTTCATAAGATAGAAGCATCTTAATAAGTCTATTATTAGCAACATATGGCACTTATACAGCAACTTCACTAAACAATACTAATATTGGTTGTTTCATAGGGTTTTATCAAGAATTTGAGTTTTTTGACCACCACAAATAATTAGGTCTGATTTCAGGAAATCAACTTAATTT